GGAAAAGAATGCAAGAAAAAATCAAAAACTGTTCTTCAAGACCCTTAAGAACATGAGGCAAGAAAAAGAGTTTCCGCTGAAATTCATAAAAGCCAAGGAAGGCACGAATGATGTTATGAGCAGATGGAAAGAATACGACTCAGAACTCCTCGGGGCTGAGAAAAGTCATATCCCAGAAATGAAGGATCTCACGACAGAGAAGGGAACCAAGGATGGGGATGAGAACATATGATCTGGGGGAAAAGGCAGCTATTGGGAGGATTAAGCTGGGAAACCCAGCAGGGCCGCGTTAACACAGTCGATAAAAAGCTCGCTTTCAAATCCAGCTGCGACTCGCTGCAGCCCACGGTCGGTGTTCAAAACCGGGCGGTTTCCGGCCTTCACCCAGCCTCTAGGAAATGGGTACCAGAGTTGACACTCTGGGGTAAATGGAGGAACGTCGCTGTAGCTACAGAGTTACGGGCGAACGGCGACACAGGCGGACAATTCTTTTCAGCTGTCCGTACTGGTGGCAGAGCACTTATGGTTTATAACCGTGTGCAATGACGCCGGTTCACATCTCCCGACTTTACCTTTTTACCCAGTAGGGCATAATTGTATACCATCAGAGATGGTCAAATATTGAGGAAATGGCGGAAAGCAGATGCCTCCTTTTTTTGTTAGAATTGGGCGCTCAAGGTGCTCCAAAACCCCAAGTTTTGCCCTCCCCCCCCCCTCCCCCAAAGACAAAAGAGAAGTCTCCGTGCATCTTTAAACATACCAGCACATATACACATTCCATTTCCGCAGACGCCACCATGCCCATGCAACTGCCAAACACGACCAATAAAATGATAACGGCCAAACGAAGACGATACAGTCCCTGTCAGATGTTCTGAAAATAGTCCCAGGCTAATAATGTTATCAGTAATCAACCTGTATGTGTTGTTTTATAGCGAGGCTTACTATCAGAGCACACCTGCTTGGTTAGACACTTGTGTGAAGGTGCGTTAACACACAAAACACATTAGGTGTGGAGGTCAGGGGTCAGCTCCTTGACATAATTCTGGGAAGCGCTCCAGGGACTGAAGCCCAGACTTTCGGCTCCCCTGCTTATGTGCTAAGCTTATGCAATCTTAGGCGCGCTTCGAATTATAACATTGTAGTTCTTTTTACTTTGTCCAGATAGAAGTACTTCACGATAGAAGCATACACAGTAGGAGTCTGCCAATCACCAGTAGAGGTCCCCCTTCGACACATATTTAGTCCTTTCTGTCCCCTAAACAATTTCCGGGTGAGGGTGACCCGGGTCATGACTCTCGGGACCAGTGTTGCCACTTTTCTTTGACAAAAAAAACATCCAAAACACAGTCAAAAAATGTATCTAAAAACATCTAAATTTGCGTGGAAAACATCTAGAAAAAACATCAAAGTGGTAGAGTCACAAATTACATAGCAATTAATATGACTTACACTATAGAATCGTGTCCAAATCTTTACTGAAGTCTACCTCACAGGATAGGATTAGCTTGGATGATGAAGTTGAAGCTTCAGATCCAAAATGACTCTGGTATGCTTTAGTTGTTACAATTTATTTTTAATACCCAATCAGGGAGTTGATAAGTGGAACAGCCTTTTCCTACTCTTATCAGGCCGAATTTTATTGTCAAGACAGCATTTAAAAGGCCTAATTTCATCCTGTTTCTTAGGTTAGATTTGATAAATTTACTTCGAATGAAAAACTTCTAGAAAAACATCTACCATCTAAACGCCAAAAACGCCATCTAAATGCAAGAAAAAACATCTTTCTTGATGTACTTTCGTAGCTTTTCCGACTAAACGAGACTTGGTTATCGCCCTTGACAAATGGTTAATGGTGGTCGGCGCTACTGTGCACCAGCCAACCACTTTGCGCCGGAAGGAGCCATGCTGGTTAGAAGTGAGCCAGCTTCTTACAGCAGCCAACAACCTTGTCGCCGACATGCCAAAAGCTTGCTATGACACTGGAAGGTATTAGGTGCCTCATGTGCCCTGTTCAAGCTTTTGCATCAGAACAAACCCAAGAGAAGTGAGCTTCTCTAGGTCTGGACTCTGGATTCAGCCAGTCAATCAGTGCCGTCTACACATTGAAGGTTAGGCTCTCCTCCGAACTTCATACACGATATTATGGCGGCCAAGCAAATAGCCTAACAGGGCCTCAGTCGTGTGTAAAATGCGGACTTTCTGCCTAGGAACAAATCGCGGCAAAACTAGGATTACTTGACAATTTCAAGAGACGCAACACTGTAGACGATAGTAGCAGATGATAATAGCGACCGTTGACAATTTCAAGCATTTTTGCAGACGATACTAGCAGACGTACTAGCGACCATTCACAATTTCGAGTCACGCAACATTACAGACGATAACAGCCACATGGCGGGGAGACCACGCGCTCCGAAGCAGATTAGCGTCGCTGTTATCCGCACACTTTTCGGCATGCGCAAAACGCGGTTAAACTCACTGCCGACAGTATCCCCGCCCTGCTACGTGGGGCGAGGATGGGGATCTAAAACTAGATCGCAAGCAAATAAATTTGTTGAAACACTGCTCCAGATCCCCACCATCTAGTTGGTTCAGGGCGGGGGATTTGTGTTGTGCGGCATAGTCTGTCCTACCACTTTTAATGTTGTCTATTCTTGCTCGTCCCCATTTTGCCCTCTGACCTGTTCATGGCCGCCCCAGAATAACTTGTTTCCAATATTTTCTTGTCTTTGCTGTGGCAGCTGGTTATTTCTTTTAAATGTTGTCTATCTCTTTTTTATTTTTTCAGTATAACGTTTTTTTTTTCTTTTAATTAGGTCAATTGAAATTCAATTATGTCATGGAAAAATTGAAAGGGGAGACTACTCTGTGGTTTAGTTGCAGAGCACTCATTATCCGTTATCGAAGTCTCGGGATGCAGTTACCAGAATGTAATCTTACAAACGAAAACGTGATACATAAATCCATGGATTTTGGTGGTCTTTCGTAAATAGAGAGGACAGAAATAGAGACTAGAAGGCAGATGAGAAAACTTCTTCTTCTTGGCGATGGCGAACCATATGTAAACTCCAGTGGAAAGTCCCGCAATCCCGGAGTTGAAATATTGTCTATAATCGGGCTATAGACTGATCTTGTTGAAGTTGTTCCATGACGGGGGTTGCGTGCACATTTCCTATATTATTTCTTTTCTTTTTTTCAACGTTTACTCTTATTAGGGCTGTTAGCACACTGTGTTGTCGTTTACAGCTAAGCTGCCATTTATACGGTCCAACGCATCTGATTTCAGCAAACCTACTTATTCTACTTCTTCTGCGTTCGACATCAACCATGGTAAACATTTAGTCCCGTCAGGGTCACAAATGGTATTGTGCGTCTGAGGTCGCGACAGCTGTTGCTTGCTAACTGGGGTAGACGTGTCTAGCACACATGTCAAATGTCCAACTGACTAATTCTGGTTCACACTATGAGCGACAGACAGTCCACAAGAACGTAACCAGCAGCTCACCGTCACAAGTATTTATTCAAAAAGACGTACGTGTCCACCAACTCGCACACATAGAGAATGATTACGAAGTAAGCACTAACGTCATGTTAACACAATGGCCAACAATAGCTAACACCCTAAGCTCCTACTTCTTTCCAGTGTTCGATCCACAACACATACTCACCCTCGGTGCTGATCCTAACTCTCGAACTATAACCACGTCCTTGCCTTCGGCCGCTGACCAACCCTCTACTTAGTGCTAGTAGTAGGAATGAACACCCTTCATTTCTCTTGCCCAGCTGGACCGCGATTAATCTAACACCTTAATCAGGCACGTCCATTTTGACTAACTGGAAACTTCTGCAACACTCTAAGTTCCCGCGACATTGCACACCGTGCACCGTGGCAAGTCGGGGAACACCGGGGTGTTCTACAGTGAACTGGCTTGACTCTCGATCACTGAGTTTTATTGATACACAATCGATAACCAGACACCAAGAAGGAACACTCACTGCCTCGTATTCAGAATGAGTGCCTTGCTTCACTAGTGTACGACCCTACGCGTTTGCACCTCAAGACAATCTCTTTGCACTGCTTTCTCAACTCTGCTCAGCTTTGCTTAGCTCTGCGAGACTTGTCCAATTATATACACTGCATGAGTTCTGCGTGCATTTTCAGATACTTGAGACCCATGCAGTTATTCTTGTGTTTTTCCCTCCTCCTCCATACCTCTGTGCACCAAGCCTTGCCCAGCACATCTCGGTATGAATGTTGACTCAGACACCTCGTGAATTTCCCCGCCAATGAGTCTGTCCTAATTCAACACAGAATCGATACACAACAGCAGGTCCTGAACAGCTTCTCTTTTTCTGTAGCTCCCTTGGGCCAGATCCACAGTCTTTGCTGGGAATAGTTTGGGCAATCCTGAAGTATGTGCTCGGGTGTCTTTTTGCCCCACAATCACAGGCAGCAGATTCTTGTGTGCCTATCCTGTGCAGATGTACTCCAAGACCACAATGTCCTGTCCGAAGCCTAAAAATCGATGTCTATTCTTTCCTGTTAAGTTTGTTTATACTGTCACTCTCTGGTCTGAAGAAGAAGAACAAGAAAAGGGAGAAGATTACATGAAGTGTAGTGGCTAGAAGCTTGTCCGTAGACCCGAAGGTCTTGGTTTCGAATGTGCCATGTGGCGGTAATGGTTTATTTATTATTTTTAAATTGACCTTATCTCCCAGGTCGACCTAGTCTAAAAATCAGTACCTGGTAATGACCTGAGAAGTAAAATCAGCCGGCGTGTTGTTGACCTCATGACCCTCCAAGGGCAAGTTTGTCTTTACAAATAAAGTCTAGCTCATATTTGCGATGCCCTCTATGGTTGAAAAGGATCTGTTTTCTAAATTTCATACAATTTACTATATTAATTTAACAGAGGCTAAAGAATGTATAAATTGTTTCGGTAAATGTATCCCGGAAGATTCGCATTTTGTTAACTTTCCGTCTGGCAGCGAAGAAAATGGCCGCGGCGATGGACGTTGACAGCAGTGAAGATATTGAGGAAGGACCAAGTGTCTCGGGCAGCGGGGGAAGCAAGAAGCGATTTGAAGTCAAAAAGGTATCTTTTAAAGCAGGCCAGCGTCACATTTCTACTTATAATTGTTTAAGAATTTTCTACTGTAGAACTGCCTCAGTTTTTGAATTTTATTAAAAGTCGAGTCGAGGGACATCGATCGACATTCCTCTCATCTCCTGGATTCCCCTTTTTCACAAGAGATTTTCTTAAACTTAAATAAAACTACACATTTTAGGGCCTTCAACCCTAATTTTCAGCTGAAATTTTGTTTATTCTGTCTGATATAGTGTCGTATATTTGCTTCTTTGTTTGAATTAAAATTTTCAATAAATCTTAGAACCACAAATGATTATGATGATTAACTAAACACCCACCCAGCTAACATTTACTATCGATATTATGGCGCCCACTACTCATTGCCGTTTTAAAATTGAAGCTGTCAAAAACGAACATAGATTTCAGTTTTGTTTGTTGCCGATTTAATGTCAGAAGTTGGAACAATTTACTTATGTCTTACTTTGTTTCTGTAGGTCAAATATATAATATATTTTGACATTTCTTTGTTGTCGTCTGTAACTAATCAAATCTGTTGTCTTGATTGGGCGCTCTGATAGCTGCAGCTATCTATGTTTAGTATTGCTCTGTTTTAAGCAGGTTGTTTTATTCCTTTATAAAAGCCTTTAATATCAGATGTGATTAAAAAAATTTGAATTGGGCTATCCTCCGAATAACGGGCACAGGCTATCCTCCGAATAACGGGCACAAAAGATGGCGGCTGATTTCGGATAAAAACAGGGCCTCAGTCACGTGTCAGTTGCGCACTTCAGGCGACCTAATTTGCGGTTTTCCAGCGACTTCCGCCAACGCCGAGAGTATCCCCCACGCCGCTCACACGGCGTGGATTGGGGCTAAACTAGATGACTGGGACTCACGAGCAAAGCTGCAGAAGATGCGGAAGCTTCTGCTCGTGAGTCCCAGCCATCTAGTTTAGCCCTAATCCACGCCGCTCCTGTGGCATGGTGGATACTCTCAGTGGATGGCGGTAGTCGCCTGAAAACCGCAAATTAAGTCACTAGAAGTGCGCAACTGATATGTGACTGAGGCTTTGTTAGGGTGTTTTTGCGGCCACCATCTTTTGTGCCCGTTATTAGGCGGATAGGCACATATTATGGCAGCCAAAAACACACCCGGCAGGGCCTTAGTCATATGTAAATTGCAACTTCCGGTGACTACAGCCACCGCAGAGAGTATCTCTAATTGGAGTCGCCGGAAGACAGCATTTTACATATGACTGAGGCCCTGTTAGGGTGTGTTTTTGGCCGCTATTATATGTGCCTGTTATTCGGAGGAGAGCCAACAATTGATCTTGTTTTCACACTTTTTCAGGGATTTATGTCTGTGTCTCTGTGCGTGTATGAAATGCTGTTGTTTGTAGTAATAACTGTGTCATTTGTGTTTACATTGAAATGTCTTCTAATTCTTTCTTGTCAGTGCCAGCCAGTACTGATATTTGTTTAGTATTCATGCAGTATCAGCAGAGACACCCAAAAATCAAAGATGGGGGACTGCAGGTAAACGATCCAAGTCAGGGTAGTGGATGGATAGAGCGGGTGGAAGTAGATGATAAGAATACATTACAAAAAATAATGGAGCCAGTCATTTGATGTTGATAGAGGTCTCAGGGGAAGAGTAGATGGAAGAAGGTGTAGATATGGTGGAAGAAGTTGATGGAAAGAATGGGGTAAATATGTGTAAAATAGTCCTTATTGAAGTGGGACAGTGGATGGAGTAAACAGAAAGTAGTCCTTATTGAAGGGGACAGTGGATGGAGTAAACAGAAAATAGTCCTATTTGAATGGGGTCCAGTGGATATAGTAGACATAAAATAGTCCTTATTGAAGTGGGTCACTGGATGGAGTAGACAGAAAATATAGCTAGAATGAATAAATGAATGGACTGGACAGAAGGAATAGGTGGAGGGACAATATAAAAATTAAATCTGAGAACTTTCCATTGTTTGTGTTGCTTTTATCAATCTGGTCCCCTATAAACTGCATCACTTGTGCCTATAAGTTGACATGTAAAACTTTCGGGTGACATTTTTTTGGCATTTGTTTTCCATTTTTGAGTGGATAGCTTTTTACAAACAGGTGAAAGATAAATGAGGTTCATTGCTGCGGATAACACCCATCTCCATTCATCTCTGGGATTGACCTTTTTTTTCACGTTGATTCCCTTGTGTTTGTAGGCGTGCCCAGATTCTCTCTCTCCACCATAGAAAAGGACTAGTTTATTATATTTGGTTCTGTTTCGTTTGTTATGTTGTATATCCAGTGTTACCATCTGCCAGACCCAGAATGGATCCTAAGTGGAAAATGGGTGTAAGCTGGGAAGTTTCCTTTACAGAATAACTTGTCCCCCATGTGGGTTCTGTGGCCCCATTGTCGGAAAAACAAGAATAGACCCATTGCTTTCCTAAAAGCATGTCATAAGAGTCGGCTAATTGGGACGCTTCCTTTGAAGTCGGAGTAATCTGCCTAAGAGGCAAGGAACCAACAGTCTGCATTCAAGTGAATTAGATCTGTAAAACTGATGCACACGCAATACTCAGGTTCTTGAGCTGGGCTGTGGTTCAGAGGTGGACAAACAACCAGAACTTTCCGCCAGAGTGTACAGCTGGTGAACGTGAAGAAGAAGAAGAATAACTCGTAATTTCAGTTATAGATAATTGGACATGTGAAGTTGCACTGCATTGTTAAGTGGTTACACTTTTGGGATCTCATTTGAGAAAAAGATGGTGACATTCGTGAGAAATGAAACTCGTAACCTGTGCAGTTTGTGGCCACTGCACTAGCCATGTGGCTGAAAAACCTGTCACTAGACTACCCCCTGGTCCTTTTGCCCTTTATCCCCATGTCCTCCCCATTGTTTTTTATTGTAGATTTCATTTTCTAGTTCCCTTTTTCCACGTGTAGGTATTTTTTTTTTTTTTTTTTTGGAGGGAGGAGGGGGGGGGTCCTGCTTCATTCTTTTGACAGTGTAGGTTTTAGTTCCCCATTTTTATGTACATTACTTCCTAAGTAGATGTTTGACTCTATGACTGACTCCACATCTTGAGTGGGATTTTACCTACCTCATGCTCTTTACCTCTCTTTTAAATGGTAGAGACAGTTTTTTTTAATTGTTAATTTTTATGATTGTATCATTTAAAGATTATATCATACTAAGATTAAATCATATTAAGATTATCTAAAATGGAGATTATATCATACTGACAGCTGTGATTTGGAGTCTGATAATTTTTTTTTTTAACTACCCCTGTTAGTCACTGACTCACTGTCTGTCACTTTTTTTTTTTTGTCCACAGTGGAATGCTGTAGCACTGTGGGCTTGGGGTGAGTACTAGTGTTCTGTGTGTGTGAGTACTAGTGTTCTGTGTGTGTGTGAGTTTAGTGTTCTCCGTGTGTGTGAGTTAAGTGTTCTCCGTGTGTGGGTACTAGAGTTGTCTGTGTGATAGTTCATCTGTAAAATTGCTCATGATTGCTAACGGCAGCGCAGTTAGGCTACTCTTTTTCTATTTCCAACTGCCAAGGGATTTTTTTTACATACTCAACAATACACACATCTGATCTTACTACCCAGAGATCAGGGGAAATTACTAGAAGTGAACTTGAAAAAATCCCTGGCTTCGCCAGGACCTCTAGTACATAATGCCTTAAAGAGCCAAAATAAAGTATTATTTTTCATGTAATTAGTTTTTCATCTGAATGTTCAAACATCATTTTTCTGTGTGGGTTTTAGGGCCCTATTTGGGGAGGGGAGGGAGGGGCTAAGAAATATACTGTAAATGTCAACCAACCAGATGTGTTCCCTTTGAAGTCAGAGTCCATCTGCCTGAGAGGCAAGGAGCCACAGTCTATACAAATAAGCCACTGAGAAATGTTTGTAAAAAGAGATACGTTATATTGGTGTTTTCATCATATACATAATTTCTGTTTGTTTCCTCAGATATTGTGGTTGACAACTGTGCCATTTGTCGGAATCACATCATGGATCTCTGTAAGTCACAATCATTGTTGTGTTTTGTTTTTTATTTTTTTTTGCTTATCATTTGCCTCCACACACGGTCAGATAGATGCTTCTTCTCCATTCATCCAGGGATGTCAATGCTTTGTGCTTATTTACAGCATGGCTGTGATATTTGCACCTTTCTGCTGATGCATCCAGCTTCTTTACCCATTTCTTGTTCCGGGTTTGCCTTCCGGTTTGTTTCATGGGACATTGCACAGCCTCAGTGTTTTCTGCATTCATCTTTGCTTCCAAGTCCACAGGCCCTGCCTCCTTTCAGGCCGTTCAACCCAAAACAGCCATGTAATAGTGGTCAGCCCCCAAGAGAAGGCAGGGGCAGAACAATGTTTTTCTTGCCACACAGGGAGGCTTCCATAGATGCAGCGCCATCTGTGCTTACTGTAGGAATCATCACATGGTTAACTCTATCATTACCATCAGGTGTCAGAACAAATGATAATCCGAGAGGATATATACAGTCCGGAAAACGGAGAAAGCATTTACCATAAATAGGCTAAAGTTGTAATAAAAGTGGAAACTGGAGGCCATGGTTTTAGTTTGCTCTTAACAAATGTAAAATGCTTAAGACATTCAGCTATGGCTAGGATTAAAAGAAGATATCTTTACTCACACCTTGCGTTGCCTGGGAAATAAAGTGTTGACCCCACTTCTGTATCTTGAGCTACTCAGAGTAGGATACTACAAGTATCTCAGATCAAATCACTTCCACATACTTGAATATAATAAAGGTCTGATTACCTGAATTTAGAATTGACATCGTAGCATACCCTATAGATGCTAGGAAAGTCTTATGGTATATGTGTTTACTATGGGAGACAGACCAGCTACGGGTATGCAAGTCTGACAAAGACAACCTAAAAACACAGGAACGTAATACATGTCTGTCTAAAGCACCTCACCACATAGACCAGAAGAGTACAAACTGTAATTATAGGTGGAGCAGGCCAACAAACTTCATTTTCAAAAGGGTCCCAAAGTGGGCTCACAGGCTGGTTTTACAGTCAGCCCTTCCAAACACTCATCTTTCTGTCTCAGAAGTTGTGTTTGATCTTGTAAGCGTGTAATGCTCGTATAACACTGTGTAATATGACTCAGGTAAAGTACATAAATGCATCGATGGTAAATGCATACATTCAGATACGCATATGTATCATACATGTAATGTATGCATTCAAATACTTTCGGTGTCTCCTCAATACTTATTGCACAAAATGTTTCCTGTTTACTACCATGTAGACCACTTAAGGCAATCTCAAATGGGGTGAATTTCTGTTGTGCAGAACAGTTTGTTTACCTTAACCAAGTTTTATCTGGATAAGAGGAATTTCTGATAAGAAGAACCAGTAAGTTCTCCTTATCATGTCTGCACTGTATATATTTCAGCATGAATCTGTTAAAAGGATTTTCTTTTTAAACCTCTGATTGCACTTCTCAGAAAAATGAGTAAAGTTTCTTGAAGTTAGAAGTTGGTGTATTTAAAATATGTAATAATGATCACCAGGTATTGAGTGTCAGGCTAACCAAGCTTCAGCTACCAGCGAGGAGTGTACCGTGGCTTGGGGAGTTTGTAATGTAAGTTTGTGCTTTTTCTTGCATCTTTCCTTCACTTGTCTTTCAGGGTCTTTGTTACTGCAGACGTTGTTGTGGTTTTCCTTGCATGTTTCATTCACTTGTCTCTCTGGGTCTCTGTTGCTACAGACATTGCTGCGGTTTATTTTATGTTTGTTCCTGTTTTCTACATGTGTTTATATGTGTATGTGAGAACTGGACAAGAAGAAGAGAAGCTGAAACAAATGTACTTGCAGCAGAGATGTGATTTTTGGGAAGAATGAAAAGAATATCATGGGTCGAAATAAAATGAAATGAATCTGTGCAAATCAGATGAAAGTCAGAAACATTTTAGGACAATTAGACGTAGACAGTTTTTTTTTTTTGTTTTTTGTTACAATATTGTAGAAGAAATGGCTTTGGAAACGTCATGAGAACTGGCAGGGTTGATGGAAAGAGAGCAAAAGAGAGATAAATACCTGAATGGCTTGGCAACATGGATAGGGTGGAACAAGAACATTGACCTGATCTGATTCTGGTGATCGAGTAAGATAGCCAAAGATGCCAGCCTACCAGCATGGCACATAATGACAATTCAGTGCTGCTAACAGTCCAGTAGAATATGTGGCAGAGAGTATCAGCTAAACTTGCTCGTAACAAAATGTGGGCTCAGCAAACTGGTTGATTAACTTGTGAATTGATTCATGAACTAGATTTGTCAACACCCTCAGAAACTAGAGTGCACATCAGAGAACATAGCAGTTTAGAAACAAGAGTAATAGAAGGTAGGGTTCTTTGAAGATGAGTCACTTGTAGACCAAAACCACAGTGAACATGCAAGGCTTGACGGTACATGAGGCAGTGGAACAGTCAATGGAAGGATGTTATGCCAGCAGTCTGTAACGATGCCTGTGTTCCACGCAAAAGACTTGCAACATGATGATGATGATTCTTCTTCAAGTTCACTGGCTGTAAACTCTGATGGAAAGTTCTTGTTGTTAGTCTTGTTGCGGAATGTGTGTGTTGGATGCACATCCATTTTACAGATCTAGCTTATTGGTATGCAGACTGTTGGTCCTTACCTCTCAGGCAGATGCACTTAAACTTTAAAGGAAACTCACTTTTAGCTGACTCTTACAACATGCTTGTTGGGGAGTCAGTGAGTTTATTCTTTTTTTCTTCTCCCCTATGGGACCCCGAACCTGCACTGGGACAACATGATGTTAAATGGTACTTTCTGATATCTTGTTTAATCTGTAGTTAGTGAGCTAAAATGATTGAAACACTACTTGTCTAACAAATGTGTTCTAAAGGGCAACCATTCAGAAGTGTTTTCTTTAAAGATAGAGTGCATCGGCCTGAGAGGCAAGGAACCAACAATCTGCATGTAAGCCGGATCTTTAGCACAGATGGGCACACACAACTCAAGTTCTGGAACAAGAGCAAAGTCCAAAAGTGGATGAACAACCAGAACTTTCCGCTGGAGTTTTCAGTTGGTGAACAAAAGTAACAATCAGTTACTTGTGATTTACTGTCAACTTCTTGCTTGTTTGCAGTTTCATTTTGTGTCTTGGTGGTCTTAGACAACCTTGGCTGATATGTGGAGGCTTGTTCTCTTCCTCAGCATGCTTTCCACTTCCACTGCATCACTCGATGGTTGAAGACTCGGCAGGTGTGTCCACTGGACAATCGAGAGTGGGAGTTCCAGAAGTAAGTCGACTTTACTAATCAACTACACTAATTCATAAACTGATTCCTGTTTAGGGTAGAAGGCAAAACATGATATAGCAGAATCACTGGTGTGGAGCTCACTGAGATAGTTCACATTCCAAAAAATCAACGGGTGAGGAGAGTATGCTGTCTGTGGATCAGAGACACAAAGCAAAAGCTTTAGAGGGAAACCTCAAAATGCAGGATGAAGAAAAGCAGAAACGGAGGTGATGTGGAAAAGGCAGTGAGAGAGCTTTAGGAGATGACAGAAAGTAGTGTACCTTGGTGAGCATTGATGCTCCAGTGGGGGGAAGAAGGACGTAGACACAGAAAACACATGTCCATGTTTGCATGAACGTACAACATTGACAGTTTTTATTATGTGGAGATGAGGGCTTGACCAGTGTGTGGGTGGGGTTTAGGTGAGGGAGACTTGTGCTACGTCAGTCACACTCTTGTCCTCATCCACTGTTGAGATACGATTGACACCTCATCCACTGTTGAGACAGGATTGACACTTCATCCACTGTTGAGATACGATTGACACTTCATCCACTGTTGAGATACGATTGACACCTCATCCACTGTTGAGATACAATTGACACAGCTGGGATCAAATGGGATGCTGAAGATGGCCAGGCTGCTCTTCTGTATCTTTCCTTAGTCCTTGCTGTAGCCATTTTTTTAGGGGGGGGGGGGGGGTGATCAGATAATGAATTCTGTACATCATTTTGAGGTCATTTATATCATTTACATGACTGCCTTGTTGCTAGGGGGCTGATATCTAAGATCCTTCATGTTGCTCATTGGTAAAGGCCTTAGTCAAAATGTTTTGATTGTTTCTTTATGTGTGTTTTCCTTCCCCCTTCAATGAGCTGTTCATTTGTTGATATCATATTGACAGCAGTATTGTCAGTTTAACTTTTTACAGACGGCTTCCTGTGAGTTTGTTGATGACTTAACCTTCTTTGGAAGATGAAAGACAGAAACAGAATATTTCAAGCTTACGTTACTGAAAGAAAGTAAAACCTATGTTGAAAAATCTCTGCAGCCAAATGTAGAAGAAATTCAAGATTAGGGATTCAGAAATGTGCACATATGGACAAGCACCAAAGAATACTGAACATGTGCAAACCTGCTTGCTGTACACATGCAGTAGAGAGATCCCAGGGTTGGCAGGACACAGAAAACCAAGTGATGTAGAAGACGTGTCACACCACCGACTTTTTAGAGGCCTGCTGACATGGAGAAGGAAAAGAAGATAGTGACAGATGATCATGTTTTAATGTTATTGCACTTGTCTGTTTCAGATACGGCCACTAGGTCAGATCTGGACTAGACCCTGGTCCTTGTTGGACAGGAAGCCTCAAGGTGCAGTCAGTCAGCCCTCACATCCTTCAAGTTTAAAGTCACTTTTTTCGTACAATATTTTCATGAAATTCACCACAGTGAATTTAATAAAATGTTTGACTGTTGTAGCCTCGGAGTTTGTTGGATCCTGTCTGACTCTTGTTAATGTCTCCTGCATTTTTATGTGTATGTGGGTGGAGGTCTTTCTGTGATTCTACTTCATGGATACTAACTTAAAAATAGAGCTTGGAAACTTTTGAAATGTTATGCAATCACAGGGTGGGAAGTATGAGCAGGAGAGGAATGATCTGCCATTATTACCTTATCTACCACTTTTGTGTTGTGGTCAAGGGGAACCACTGAGCCTGCAGCTTTAGTGCCACATGGCTAGTGCAGTCTCTCTACGGCGTGTGCAGGTCAGAATGTTATTTTTGTCTCCGACAGAAGAAAAAATACATAATCTTACCGGGGATTCGAACCTGAGTCTCCTATGCAGGTAAGGATGATGCTGAACTTCTCAGCTGGGAAATATCAGAATAGATGAGACTGATACTGTCACTTCACATCTGTGGCGAGGCATATTGGCATGTAACCAGGTCTAGATATTTTTGTTTTTATCACACTGTTTACAGGCTGAATGAAGCCCAATTTTGTGGTTTTCTGTATTGTCTGCCTGTTCTCACGTGGCTGAACTGATCAATGTATCTACATAACATTTAAAAAAAAAATTTTTTTTAACATTTGAAATGTTTATTAGTTGATAGTGCTCTAGAGAATGGTACAAGATGATTACATTAGGCAACCAGGGCAGAAGCAGTTGAGGACTGACTGACTTCCTGTCAAAATGGACACTAGGCACAGCCACTGTTGTGAGCCGTGGCAAATTTGTTTGCTTCTGCCAGATGGTGGCATTTTTGCTCCATTTGTAGACTGAAAGGATAGTTTTGTCTCCCAGCTTCTGAGCTGAGTGCATGGCATGACACTGTGAGCTGCTGCTTTCATTTGGAATGTTTTTCTACTGTGACCAACGTGGTTGTGTGAATTTTAGATTCAGAAAATGGCACGATGTCTGTTGTTTTGCAGTATTCGTGGTGCCATTATTTGATTAAAATTGATTGTATGTGCAACTGCTGATCTGTTGGTGACTTCTTCTACCATCCATGATGAACTGCATTTCTAATGTCGGACTGTTTGTGTTAGCACTCAGATGGCTACCGTATACTTTTAATACATGTGTATGCTAGTGCATATGCTGAGACAGCAGTCTGTCAGTCTTTCTACAAGGGACTGTGATAAACATTCTGTGTGTTTTTCGTTGGCACAGGAGCAGAGCAACTATGGGGTGATCCGTTTGCTATAAAGCTGAAACTAAGGTTACCAAATTTCAGCTGAGGACTCGTACTTCCATGTGGGAGCCAACACTTTCTTGGTCTTGCACTACATATTCTGGACTCCACCAAGATCAGGCAGTATTTATCCTTTCTGCTTCGCTCCAAATGTTTGCAAATTTTCACAGCCTTCTTGATCAGACTGTAGATCTGGCAGATCTGCTCCGAAGCCCTTTCATCTCCAAGATGCGCAGGATCTTGTTGCCGGTGACAAAGTGGACTTGAGCAACACTGTGTGAATCTCAGAATGACACTAATCTGTGAGAGTGTCAAGACATTTTTGGCCAGCTTATAAATCTGTTCCTCGACCTCTTCCGCAGACAATTTTAGGGTTACCAGAAAATGAAAACTTTATCAGTGATTTAATTATTATCTCCCTTTGATTTATAAAAAACACTGTAATGAAATTAGATTGGAGTTGAAATCAGTCGTACAGTTCATTAGAGAGCAACAGATCACATGGTTTGGTCATCTGACAAAAATAGTACTAACCGGCAGAAAGAACATCACTGAAAATAAATTTGAACACACGGTAAGAGGAAGATGACATACAAAATAGATTGACGGCTTCAATAATGGTCTAAAAGAAATAAAGATCAACTTATACAGTGTGTTAGAAAGAGCAAATGGAAGATCCTTACATCTATTCCAATATGTCGGTGAGGTAATTGACGGGAGAGGAGGAGCAGCCAAAACATTTTAGGTTGACATGGCAAGTGCAGTCGCAAGACTTCGCTGATAAAGCCGTTTATTTTATATTTCTTCACTGTCCAAGTGACAAGTTTCTTTGTGCCTGCTTATTGCATAGCCGCACCTTTTAGCTGACACATCCGACTTTATCTGGCATTTGTTCACAGGGTTAGCCTCCATGGTCGGTTTAACGGGGCATGATGTAACCTTTTCTCTGCCGTGATTTTTATCTTCGGGTGTTGCCCCTCCACCGTTCAGGGAACCAATCTAAGGCAGCTGCGCGCACACAGGTCAGCCCTTAAGGAAAGGAAGGGGCAGAACAGGCAATGTCCCACCACCAACTGAGGCTTCCATAAATACAGAGACTGCTCTGGTCCTGGGCTCACCCAAAGAATCCTCATCTCCTGCACGTGATTGCTCATCGTTACATCCGTATGTTTAGCCTTCCACAGAAGCTGTTGTAGTGTTCACCAGGAAACAGCCCGTAGATCTGAGGCTTCAATGACCACACAGCCGGGGAAAATCTTTCTCTGCACGTTAGATGTCCTTTAATATAGTTGCACCAGGACACAGCACGACAGTATAGCTCAAGCACGACAGTATAGCTCAGCACGACAGTATAGCTCAGCACGACAGTATAGCTCAGCACGACAGTATAGCTCAGCACGACAGTATAGCTCAGCACGACAGTATAGCTCAGCACGACAGTATAGCTCAGCACGAGTATAGCTCACAGACAGTATAGCTCAGCACGACAGTATAGCTCAGCACGACAGTATAGCTCAGCACGACAGTATAGCTCAGCACGACAGTATAGCTCAGCACGACAGTATAGCTCAGCACGACAGTATAGCTCAGCACGACAGTATAGCTCAGCACGACAGTATAGCTCAGCACGACAGTATAGCTCAAGCATACATCGGACATTCTCTGATGAGTGGGATCAGAGGTAGTGGGCATTTGAACCTTGTCTGTCACACAGGACATTTGATTGTTAGACATCAAGAATGTTGATGTCACACAGGACATTTGATTGTTAGACATCAAGAATGTTGATGTCACACAGGACATTTGATTGTTAGACATCAAGAATGTTGATGTCACACAGGACATTTGATTGTTAGACATCAAGAATGTTGATGTCACACAGGACATTTGATTGTTAGACATCAAGAATGTTGATGTCACACAGGACATTTGATTGTTAGACATCAAGAATGTTCATGTCACACAGGACATTTGATTGTTAGACATCAAGAATGTTGATGTCACACAGGACATTTGATTGTTAGACATCAAGAATGTTGATGTCATACAATAGGACATTCGATTGTTAGACATCAAGAATGTTCATGTCACACAGGACATTTGATTGTTAGACATCAAGAATGTTGATGTCACACAGGACATTTGATTGTTAGACATCAAGAATGTTGATGTCATACAATAGGACATTCGATTGTTAGACATCAAGAATGTTCATGTCACACAGGACATTTGATTGTTGGACGTCAAGAATGTTGTCATACAATGGGACATTCGATTGTTAGACATCAAGAATGTTCATGTCACACTGTAGGACATTCGATTGTTAGACATCAAGAATGTTTATATCACACAGTAGGACATAAGAATGTTGATGTTTTACTGTATGACGTTTGAGCTAAGCAGCAATTCAGTAGTACTTTTGGTTGACAGATGTTAGGACAATGTTTTTTTTCAGCAGGATATTCGGCCCACAAGCTTCACTCTGTTTCCAAATGAGTTTTCTTTTGATGGACGTTGTCACCCCCTTCATTGAGGATGGGCTGATGAGGGCCAGAGGTTTATGGACACTGCATCTCTGGGTGCCACCAGTTCCGTGATCCCCTGCCAGTCTGGTTCAGGTGGGGAGAAACAAATCCTGGTTGTTTGGCAGGAGTCTTCATGAGGGTTCCAAGCACCAACACAAGCTTGCTAACGCTAGAGATGAAGCATGGAAAGTCTTAAAAAAAATACATCGGCCTTAACTTTCCCTCATGCCTATGGCCAAAATCAAGATGCCACAGAATATGATATAAATGTTGTTTTTTTAAGCGCAGAAATTTTTTTAACATGGTTTTTTGAAAAAAGGAGGGGGGGGGAGCCTCAAGGCGCATCCTTACTTACTTAGTCGCTCCTCTTCTACCTTGGGGTGTAGAGGTTTGCGTGCATCCTGCTGGCCCTAAATCCCTACTAAGTATTTCGCGTTGACTACCAGTAATAACAGAAATACATATCCTGTGCTATATCACATTAAAAAAAGTATAACACATCTTCCCAGTGTCTGTCTGTCGTGTAGCGAGTTCGAATCTCCTTCGAGTGGTGATCTGGCTATTATTGCTGTCCTATTAATCCTTCAGGAAATGGTGAGTGGTTGGTTGGCACATAATTAGTGGTGTGCCTTATACAGTAATGCATGTGCACCTGCTAGTTTGTCGTGACTGCTCCATAATTTACATGTTTAAAGGATTGTATTTAAATATATATATTATATATATATATATATATATATATATATATATATATATATATATATATATATATATATATATAAAACAGTTTTCTAAGATTAGGTGCTGTAATGTAAACCAGATGTATCTCTTTACAAATCGTGGACCCTCGTCCAGTCTTAAATCCGGTCCGAGCGCTGGGCATAATCTTGACCACATAATCACCAAGTGAGAGCTCGTCTAAGCAATAATGTTGCTTCTGGCTCGTTTTACTTTCTGGGCATTATACGTGCCTCAGTCAAACTGTAAAGTCTGGACACATGATAGAACATTCAAAACAGGGGAAAATATAAGATTACATAAACAATAAGCATACAATCATGGAACATTTTCCTTAGAGTACCAACCATCGCAGCTCAGTGTG